ATTGCTTCATACATATACTCGTACTCGTATATACATACATATATATCTAGTTATATGTTAACCAACTACTACATAACTGCTTACATTTTTTTTACTTATATACCATCTAGACGAACGTGTAACCTAATGTACTCGCATTTTTACATTTTGTTATAAAATCATTAAAAAAAAACCAAAAACCCGTTAAAAAAAAACATCGCAAAACAAGCGGAAGAAGAAGAAGAAGCAAAATAAGTAATGAAAATCATACGAAAAACAAAATTTTGCTTATTTAATTGGGTAACTCAACTTTTAACCAAAGAGTCCATATTACTGCCAGAAGATTTCTTAATAAGCTTTAATATTATTATTGTTGTAGCACGCGCTTGACAAAAAGCTCACAGCCACACAGAATGAAATTCACGCTCGAACACGCATACACTTACATGCAATCAACACAGGCTTAGAATTTAAATGAAATTAGCGCGTTTTAAAACGCTGTTAGGCTAACGGGTCAACAAGAGACCAGAAGATTTAAAAAAAAAAAAATAATAATTTTAGTCCGAGATTTAGCACACATTAAAGTCTTAATAAATGTACAACTCTAAGCGAATAAGAAAAGCAACGCGTACCTATAAAAAAGCTTTTAATTATTCCTTCTAGGCCAGCGCTTTAGCCAGTTCCATTCCGTTCAGTTCAGTGCATTTCAGTTGAATACAAGTTTGAAGTTCCAAGTTCCTAGTGTTGAGCCAATCCTGGTATTTCGAAAAATTTATTGATTTACTTCTAAATGTACATACATACATACTAACATATTTGTAAGCCCACATACATGTACAAACGTATGCATTTTAAATTGGCTTAAAAAAACTTTTATCTATGTACCTCTAATTAGCATTCTTTCAAAGCTCAGATTTGTGTGTACCTATCTACCTCGATATATAACCATGCATACAAAAACAAGTTATTTTTTTCTCTATTTTATCCTTTCTTTTGTGTTGTTGTTGTTATTGTTAATCTTACACACACTCACTCAAATGTAAAACACAAAGGATTTTCGTATCTTGCTGTTTTAACTGTTTTCCTTCGTGTGCAATGAACTGGCAGGAGAAAAGTATATTTTTGTGTGTTGTGGGTATATTTTGCAAATATTACAGCTCCCCCACAACAGTATAAATAGCTTCATGAGCATGACGATCAGCTGCTTTTGAGTATCGAAGCTGTTTATAGAAAATATACTTTTCTCATTAACTTAAAAGCAAAGCTCTACAAAAAAACGCCAACGAAAAGAGTAAAAGTTATGTAAAAAAAGAAAATTGCATTAACGAGTCAAAATTGTAAATAATTTCCAAGTATTTGTTAAAATTTATATTTAGCTTTTTACTATTATTATTTTGTAAAACTTTTGGTACTTAAATAGGTAGATAGGTAGGTAGATAGAATGTGAGAAACAGCTCTTGTGTGGAATTTGTAAATACTCGTACTCACTTAACTACGTACTTGTGTATAGCTAGAATTTGTCAACCCGTTGTTTGTGAATAAAAAACCCCCTTTTGATTAATAGCACATAAGTATTTCCCACTATTTAAATAAATTGAGAATGAGATTTTTTGAAAAATCCTTTTTAACTTTCATGTGTTTTTTTTCTATTTCTTAAAAATTCACTCAAAATGCTGGAAGCTAAAAAAAACGACTATTTTGCTTTCAATTTCTACCAATAAGAATGCCAGGTGTTTGTAAAATGATTTCAAGAATTACCACCTTTTAATTATTTTAATTTCAATAAAATGCCTAAAGATGTCATTTAGCTTTTATATAAAATTTGACTCGATTATAAAAAACACTGACGCTCAAAATGAGAAATAATAGTGATAAATTTTGCAATGACGAGTCACGGCTAAAACGCATCACGTGAAAAAAATATATTCTGAGATAAAAGCTCGCTATAATAGTCACTGATGTTGTCGCAAACAGCTTAAATGCTCCCCTTAAGAGCTACTCACTCCAAAGCACTGATGGGCACTGCCTTGCCCGCGGTCAAAGCTCCTTTAAGCTTTCTATACATTTTGTATGGGCGCGAGCAGAGTAAAAGCTCTCTCTGCCTAACGCCGCTCTAAAGCTACGCGATCAAATCTTTTTTAATTTTTATATCAGGGAAAATGAGCTTTCTTCTCAGTTCGGATTCACACACAGTAAATGTTTGGCAGAAATGTCTCAAACGCAACCTCTGAGCAGAGTTTTTCAAAACCTTCTAATTGACCCAGCGTAGAAGCTTTCGTAAGCTGTCTGTGATCTAAATCAGTATTGAGCAGAGAGATTTTACCCATCTACGACGTCTATAGAAATGACAATCCGGTGTCTATAACCGATTGGTACAATAACTGCGCATGGCAAGCTTTCAAAAGCTCCGGGGCAATTCAAGGCTGACACACGATAAAAGCTCTATCCAGCCAACACTGATATGCATAGATAAGTTTGCTTCTGTCATGTAAATAAAATTAAAATTCGGTAAGTTTAAAGTCTAATTAATATTAATCGAAATTTCTAAGTACAAAAATATTCTTGATATTTGTTCATTAAAATAACGCATATGGAGTTTTAGTGAGGGTAAGGAAAGCAAAAGCTTAGGGGTCACTAGTTTCTGTAATGGTATTTCTTAGTAGCCTACATGAACTGTCTCTCTATCTTCTTCATTAATTAGGTAGTTTTGATTATGGTAGCTTTTGATAACTATGTACATTCTAAGTAAATTTCTACTTTTCCTATGTTGCTAGTATCAATTTTGTAACATTTACTATTTTTTTACGCCTAAATGAATTTGATGATATTTTTTTTTCAAATCAACACAATGATCGGAACACATCGATCTTGTAAGCATTGCTAACAATAATGTTAAAAAGAAAAAGAAAGAAAAGAATTCGCATACAAGTACACATATACATTGCGCTGTTATGTGCTTTACAGTGTAATCCTTGCAGATAACATTTCCTCTCTCCACTTTCCACTATTCACCTTCCACAAAATAATCACTCGCTACAGCTGTGGCATTCGCTAGTACGCTATGTTTGAGCGGTAACTATAAAGAGCTTTCACCAAGCTGCACAGCTTTCGTTAGACCAAAGTTAAGATCCAAATAGCATAACATACATACATACAAACATATATTTAATAGATATATCTATTCACTGCCCCACGACACATATCGCTATCGCTAAAGCTTTCACTACCACTTTCACTTTCACTATCGCTTCCACTTTCACTATCACTATCACTATCGCTTCCACTTCCACTTTCACTTTCGCTATCAACTGTCACTATTGCCACCACCAACTTTTGTCTTTTACTGTAATTTTTTGTTCCTTCAACAAAGACTCAATGTAAGTTTTTATTGCCAAATGAATGTAAATATATAGGTGTATATACCTTTTTGTTCCTTTTTTTTGTGTTTGAGTTTTTAATTATTTTTTTGTTGTTGTTAGTTTGGGTTTTTGTATTATTTTTTTTTTAAGCAAAAATTATGAAAACGCAAAATACAAACTTTTTCACCTCAATCATCAATTCCATAAAAAAAAAAAAATCAATCAAGGGGCTCATATTTCAAATATGAGGAGGATGAATTACTTCCAAAGCAGGAGGCGCGCATTTGGCGGCCGCGTAGTTTCCACTACGATAACGTAGCGGCGGCGATGCTGACGCTTTTCGCGGTGCAGACAGGCGAAGGATGGCCACAGTAAGCAAAAATGTCAAATAAGTATTTACAAAATCGAATTATGCATATATTTATTTATTATACTAAGTACATATTTGCAATACATAAGTAGTTGGTACTGAAAAGCTTTAGTTCCAAAAATNATATATTTATTTATTATACTAAGTACATATTTGCAATACATAAGTAGTTGCTACTGAAAAGCTTTAGTTCAAAACATTTTAAATTACTATTACTTTTACATTACTAATTTACTTAATTACATTATTAAAAATTATTTATAACAAATGAATTGATATATTGAATATTCAAAATTTGATAGAGTTCTACAACACTCCATGGCTGCCACGTATGAAGATAGGGGTCCCATACAAAATTTCCGGATCGAAATGTCCATATTTTATATTGTGTATTTCATTGTATTTCCATTCTTCTTCGTGAATATATTCGTGGCCTTGATTATCATTACATTTCAAGAGCAAGGCGAGGCTGAATTGCAAGATGGTGAAATTGATAAGAACCAGGTGAGCCGTACTAATTTATTTAATAGCCAAATCAATTGCATATGTGTGTGTGTAAAGCAGTATGCCTACAAATGCTAAACAAGAAACTTCCTAGAGAGTAGTGTCAATGTTGTTGTGAATAAATCGTTACTTTTCTTGTTTGTAAAAAAAAAACAAAAAAACAAAAATACATATTTATGTATAAACACGAAAGCCGATTATTGAAAATATCCAAATACAGCTTTCGACATATTTCACTCAGTTGCGAATACGTTTTGCTTACCTGACTGCTTCGTGACTTTATGAACTACTAAGCCTATAAATATTTTGTTTACTGTTAAACTTTTAGATTATTTCCCAAAGCTTTTATGCCATAGATTATACTTACGTACAGCAAATTACAAATTAGAATAGTCAAAAAGAAAAAAATGAAACCTACACGACACTATACAATAACAAATTAGCTGCTAGTACATTAACAGATAGATAGATGTAAATACATACATACATACATACGTATAACATTTATACATACATAAGTATAAAAAAACTAACGAGATTACACTTACACTGAGTTAAATGCTAGTTGAGGTATATCAAGTCCCTTTGACTTGCCCAACTTTCTTTGTAGGTCATCTATTTAGAAAACATTTTTAGCGTCGAACATAAAAATACGAAAATGTTTAAGCTAGAATTAGCTTAGCTTTAAACCTTTCCAACTTAACCCCAAAAAACAATACGCTTTTGTTCAAGCATGCTTTCGTTTAGAAGCTGCCTTCAAGCATTCACAAGCACACAAATGTTTAACATCGAAGACGTGTACAAATTTCCCGCGCGCCCTATACTAGTTTCGCTAGTTACCAAATGGTGCCCTTTAACACTACCTATCTACTTAGTCAACAGCTTTCCATAGTTTACATACTTTATAATAGTATTCATGATTATGAACCTTCAACAAGTTTTCCTAATGAAAATATATAAATGTTGTACATTTACCGGAAATTAGCGATTTCAATAGGAGTACTGCTATGCTTTTAAAACTTTTCGATTTAAAAGCTTCTGCAAGCACTCTTACAATGGTTTGTATGCATACACCGTTAGTTGCTACATACATATCTACTCGCATACGTTCATTAGTATTTAGTATTATTTTTAAACGTATCATATAAGCATTTTTATTTTTTTGTAGCTTATACGAAATATAGTTCTTTGGCCAGTATTTACTTAATTTGGGTATGGCATCTTAACTGAAAACATAGCCCAATAGTTAGTGCAATAAAGTCTTTCCCAAAAGGCAAAACTGGTTGGCTAGTAGTAGCGTTACTTTTTCCTAGGACGCCTTATCTGAAACGAGTGATATTATCTTCGTACTTTCACGAATCATTATTGCCTTCAAACAATTTGGACCTGTCGACGAATCTCCTGAAGTCAGCAACTGACCCATTGAACATTAAAAAAAAAAGGAACAGTCCAGCGCCTTCGTCTTGGCCTGCAGGCTGTATCGGAGATACAGCCGCTAAATTTAAACGTAGAATACGTGGTATGGTTAANAGTGATATTATCTTCGTACTTTCACGAATCATTATTGCCTTCAAACAATTTGGACCTGTCGACGAATCTCCTGAAGTCAGCAACTGACCCATTGAACATTAAAAAAAAAAGGAACAGTCCAGCGCCTTCGTCTTGGCCTGCAGGCT